AAATGTAATTATCCCATTTCGATTAAGCTTGCTTCTATACTTTTTTTTGGAGCCAGTAGTTGTAGGATTAAAAATGTAATCTTTCCATATCGATTCAGCTTGCTTCTATACTTTTTTTTGGAGCCAGTAGTTGTAGGATTAAAAATGTGATTATTCCATTTCGATTCAGCTTGCTTCTATACTTTTTTTTGGAGCCAGTAGTTGTAGGATTAAAAATGTGATTATTCCATTTCGATTCAGCTTGCTTCTATACTTTTTTTGACTACCCCTATTCCCCTTTTAGATTAATAATTTTTAATAATCTTGTTTCTAAAGTTTTTATGTCCATTTATGGAGTATACATTTTAAGCTACATACGTGCATATGCATTCAGTTGAATGTTACAAGTTTTTCAACAGTTTACTGCTGCATTTGCTTTTTTTCCCCACCCAACCATTATTTACTGAGCCAGATAGTTTTGTGCTTGAGGTTTCGGGTAAACACGCGTTTAACAAGTGAAGTACGAAAATCAGTAGAATAAATCACCACTCATAAGCGTAGACAAATCTACTATGGTAATCGTCTAGTGTTAGAAAACTCACTGAAATAGTCACAGAAAACCACGTAGAGACAAAGAAAAACAGCGAACTCGAGAAATAATGAATCCTCAAAGTGGCAGTTTCCAATAAATGTGGTGTAAGTTGCATAAGGTATTTTCCAATTAATGGCATCAGTAAAACACCGGATTTTTTAAATGACGGAAAGTGAAGGACTACCCTATAACATACTCAGTACTGCAGTCGTTACTAATGTTCAGTAAAATATTCGTAGCCGTTTTGTGCTGTAGTGGCTTGTAAAACTATAATCAATAATAACAAGGCTGAAGACTGTTATAAATGTTACACATTGTTTACTCTAATAAAACGACCAGTATAATGGTGCTTAAATGGCTTCGAAGAGCTTATATTGGTAGCGAAGAACTCGGAAAATTTTAGACGATGAAAATCTCGACTTTTAAGAATCAACTGTCAAAAAAGCCCAAAACTTTCGGAGGAGTTTGTTCAGTAGCTGTGCATAGATTTTGGCGCAGTATACCTAGCTGTTTTTGCTGTAGGCTTCTGTGCTTGAATGGCTTCGAAGAGAAACTTGGCCAGTAGTGATGAAAAACTGATAAATTCTCTCCTTCTCTTTCAAGAATCAACCTAAAATAGTCCTATGACCAGAATAGGAGTTTTTTAGTAGGTTTGACCTGGTTTGAATAAAATATTAATAGCCGTTTTTTTCTGTAGGCTTGTGGAGCAATAATAATAATAAGATGAAGAACAAATGCTATTATCAATATTTTAGCAGCTTTAGCCATTGATATAGAAGGTCTTGAGTGTTATTTCAAGAACACGTCTGCTTTTCAGATGGTTTTTGCATCGTCAAGAAATTAATGTCGCGTTTTGGAACACTTTCATTAACCACCACCCAAAAAACGTACATCATGCATAATAGTTAAATGAATCGCCTAAATGTCACGTTAGTTTAGCATATATAATGTGTAAACTTTTATATACTCTAATCCCTTATTATGATGGCACACGGCGAGACACACATTCGGCATGTAATGC